AGCGTAGGCTGTTACTACCATGCAGGTTCGGTTGGGCTGAGACATCATACTAAGTTGCTTCCGAATTGCTCTAGGCTACTCTGTGCATATTGGAAACAGGTGCTTCCCTCGCACACCTTCACAACAATCACTTTGCTTGAGGATGTGCAAACTCCCCTGCGCCGCGATGGGAGAAACGGCTCGACACACAACGCCATTTTGGCAGTGTCGGACTTTGAGCAAGGGGGGCTCTGGCTCGAAGATGAGCATGGGGACGAAACCCGTCTCCTGGATGGCCAGGGACTACGAGGCAAGGTGCATCAGATCACGAAGGATCCTTTTGTCTTCGAGGCCAGGGATAGGTATCACTGCACTGAGCCCTGGAAGGGTCATCGACTTGTCATGGTTGCCTTCGCGGTCCCAGGATACGAGAAACTTGAATCGTCCGACCTAGCACTGGTCAGGGACTTGGGGTTCGCCTTGGGCAGTGAGTCGCAACTTGAGGGCAAAGCCGTGGCCTTCAGACCGGAGCTCTGCTGCAACCGTGGCAATCCCATCAACGTGATGTGGGCTGGCGATGAGTCGCCTTTCACGGATGGCTTCGGCCTTTGCTCACCATCCAGGTGGGTCCCAAGCGCTCGTGGACAAGGGCTTCCGGAGCCGGCCAGGCGGTTGGCAGCTGCTATGCATAAGCTTGTGAAATCTTTCGTCCTTAGGGTGTTGCCCAACGTGGAACGCACAGCGATGGAGCTTGTCCTTGGACGGTTCACCTCATCTCCCTTTGCTGAGCGAGACATGACTCAGTTGCGGCAACAGTGGGTTGGATTGCTTGGGGATTCCGGGGGCCACGACCTGTTGGTGGTCCCGGAGAGGCAGCCTTTCTATCTCCCAGCTTTGGCCCGCACGGCAGAGTTGCTTGGTGATCCAGACTGGGAGGTCATCACGCAAGGCGAGGACAACTTTTGCACTGGAGTCCCATTGGGCTGCGAGGAGGTTCTGCCACAGGTCCCACAGGTCTTTGACTTCAAACATAAGTCGAGGACTTTGGATGAATCTGAGTTTGATTGGGATCGTACCAACTACAAAAGTGCTCATGAGTTTGAGGGACCACTTCTTGAAAAGTTCCGAGAGGAGGAGCAGCTTGGGAGGATGTTCCCGACAACGATGGGTGCACTCAAAGAGCAGTTTGGTGCTGAGCGGATTCGGATAGCAAGCTTGGGCGCTATTGGCAAACCCGACGGGACGGCGAGGCCCATCCATGATGGGACACATGGCGTGCAGGTGAACAATGCCATAAGGATTGAGAGTCAGCAGGCCGTGCCGGGGCCCGCAGAGCTTTCATTCGTCGTTGATGAGCCCATCCGCCGAGGCGAGGTTCCCTTTTGCATTTCAGCCGATGTTTCAGCTGCGCACCGTTTGTCCAAAGTCAGGAGACGAGATTGGCCCTACTTGGCATGCCGTGTGGATGACACGTCACCCACGGTGTGGGTAAACACGGTGGGGACTTTCGGGGTCTCATCGGCCTCTTTCTGGTGGGC